ATTCACCGACAGTAGCTTCATCTTGCGTGTGATTCAGGTTCTCAAAGAACAACTTGTCCTGATTCTTCTCCCCGTGCTCGAGAAGGAAAGCAGCTTTGAACTCAGCCAAAAGCCCAACTTTGATTCTCTGGATAAGTCTCGGCCCAAGCACGTGCCTTGCCAATACAACGCAGAGGTGCAAGAGGAGTCATTTTCTACTCATAAAGATTGTATAGGACACGGACTTGCTCCAAGTCATTCAACTAGGAACTAGCAGGCCCTTTCCAGTCCCATTAATAATCGGCAAGTATTGCAGATTCGGAGATCCAGAACTCTGAGACGAAAAGACACGGACGGGTGCAGGTGCAACATAAACAACCGGAACAGAAGGTGACGGTGCCTGGTTCGGGGCAGCAACTCCAAGACCGGCAAAGCCTGACCGCTGACTCAAATCCGGTTGCAGTTGAGAATGGAAAAGACGAGACGAACGGACTTTGACTTGCAAGGCCTTGAAACTGAGCTTTAGCAGGCGAAAAAAGACCTGTAGACTGTGTCCATAGCTAGAGCCGACGACAAAGATGCGGACGGACTTGTTTGCAATGCTGGCATCTCAAATCTTGCTGACGGAACATACACACTTGAAGGCATTGTAGCAACCGGCTCGAAATTGCTCTTAGAAACGGATTCAAACTGAGGCATTTGCGGACGAGATGGATTTGTAGCAACCACAACCGAGAAAAGAGGACTGGAAGTTGGCGCTGCTGGCGGTATAGCAACATTTGAAGCAGAAGTAATCAAACCTAAAATCTGATCGTGCTATCAGGATCGTGCATCAGTTCTGAGCGCCAGCTTTCCTCAAATTGTAGCGGTTGTCGAGCTGTTTGCCGCTCCAGAACAGCGATCAGACGTTCTTGAAGGTCATTTCTGACAAGGAAGACTTTTCGACGGGACGAGACGAGAAAACCGGATCTCCCCTTTCCAAAATCTCACGAAAGGGACTGCTCAAGACGAAGTTTCTCTTGTAAAACATTATGCAGCTCACGTTCCTGTATCTCCAACTCCAACTCTTTCCGTTGCAATTCGTCAATCCTCTTATGTGCAATAGCCTCTCTTTCCGACATTTCAACTCACTTTTAACCTGAGGAAGCATTTGCTCCTCGGTCCTCATCTTGCTTTGAGTGTTGATCAGACGCTAATGCTGACGCTGAGCTAAAATAGCACTTCAAATTTGATACTTGATGTGATCACAGAAGCTACATGGATCCACTTCAAGGGCTCGCACCAGCTCAAGAGCAGTAGGACATTTCTTCATTAACAACTGATAAGTACAGCACTTTGGCATTACACAGCCACAATAAGAAGTAGCGGCAGCGAGACGATAGCACATCAACCACCTGACGAAGACATAGTGTATGATTCCTTTGTCATCAGACTTCAACTTAAAATGCAAATGACCAGCTCAACAAACACCAACGGCCCAAAACAGTGGTGGAAGCGTCACCGTACCACATGTACAATGCACCTCCGGACAAGCTGTAGGTTGGCACCCGCTAAGGAACCATTGAAAACCTAGAGCTCATCCAACCATAATACTATAACAATGTAACGATCTGCGCTTCTACCAATCTCCTTTCAGATCGCTAGAGTTAATTATCAAAAGCGAAACCCCTGTTTCTAGGTACAATCTACCTCGTAGCGAACGTACATTTAAGCTAGGCTTCGGGCTTGAAGGCTTGAATGCGACTTCAATCGAGTCTATAAGTCGTTGCTTTATCGACGGTACATTTGAGCTCTTCTCGCAATGCTGCAGGGCGCTGCATGCCTCTAGGATGGAGCGACTAACATTGCTGGCTCTTGAATTGGAGCACAGCTATATGGTTGGACGAAAGTTGCTCATTCAACACGCTGGCTTCTAGTCAGAAGCGAGTTTCGCAATTCTCCTCAAGTGTCGAGCTCCCGTTTACATTCCAAGCTTTTGCGAATACTGTGTTGCTTGTAAAGCATCGCAGGCTCGGGGCTTTACCAGCACGTTACAAACAGGGTAATAGTGTAACAGCGTAAGCGTAAGAGGAATTTGAGCGCGTAGCTCAAATCACAAACTAACCGTCCACACGAGCATGCAAACACATAAGCCAGCTCCCAGACTCACCTCTTACGAGCCTGAAAGAATATCAACAAATTAACCAGACTCCAACCAAAATCCGTATCAGAACCCTTACAGCATAAGGATCATCTATCTTGTAACGATGCCCAAGGACACTCCCCCAACATCATGCAGCTCAAGGCCCAGCATACCACCAGACTACCCCACATATATTTCAACCATAACAAATTCACAGCTCAATGCTCCAAAGCATGACGACGCATGTGAGGCAACAGATTCAAGAGTCAATGCCCCTTTTTCCAGACACTAAGCAGGTTAACCAGGTTCTTGACATTTTTTAAGCAAAACAGCCCTAATGAAGATTCCTCTCGAAGTACATCTAAGCAAAGCAAATTACCCTTTGTGGTCAATGAAGATTGGCATAAACATCCTTAGGCTTTGACAAAGTAGGAATCATATCAGAAGAGATGAGAAGGCTACACACATAAGCCTGCATACCAAGCATTTTAGGGGAGGTGCCGCTCTCGTCCGTTTCTCCCCACAACATCCACTCACTGGCAACACCACATATACAGCTTCCAAGTAAGAGGTCCAGCAACATTGCCCACGAATAAGTTACGGAAGAAGTACAAGCTCGCCATATTGCCCAGAAGTTTAGTTCAAACTAGCAAGGTCACCCCACAAGCTGTTAGGATGCGCGGCTCTCACAGGGAACATCTTAGCTGGTATGAGGACGAAATCTAAGCGGGGTCATATCTTGTCGACGGAACCAGAAGACTCCCCTCCCAGAAATTGTCTACTCATGACTGCGACGGCGTATGTACAGTGCAACTCACAAATAACACTAACAGCAGACTACCACATGATGTGGAACGCTAAGGGGCAGATGTGCGCGGCGCGGAATGTATTACATGGTGGCTGTGGATGATGCGAACACGAAGAAGATGGTGGCTGAAAATAGGCGCCTTACTTAAGGAAAAGCTCCTATGCTAATGTCTCAAAAGTCAAAGTTCTATCTCTTTTGTGTCCCGGGACTAAATGGCCACTGTTCCCAGAGAATTGGTAATTGACGCTACCTAAGTATAAGTCGCTAAAGTTTGCTTCTCTTCCGTCCGCTTCTAAATAAGTCTCTGTTCCGGCACGCCGGAAGTGCATGGCACGCTGGAGGTCACATGAAGAAACGATTTCTGACGACCAAACGACCATTACAAGCTCGCCACACCGAGCTGAAGCTCTACCGTACAGGCTCTCCGACGAAATCCTGTGCACATTCCGGCCCTAAAACGCAAGCCGGAAGTAAGTACTGAAGGCTAATAAACAGGCCGGAATGTCAAAAAGCAGGGAACTCCCCCTAGCGGCACTTTGGGTTGAGTCGCGCGCGGCCGCCCGAAACTCTGGTAGACAATTTCCGCAGGTAGTCACTTTTTTTAAGGGAACAGCTGTTAGCTACCCCCTCCAATTATTGGTGTTCCGCTATCATAATCTCGTGCTCAGCAAAGCGCTAAAAGAAAGAAAAAGCCAGACAAACCAATGACTAGAGATGTTTTGAATATACGGACCATGACGACGCCACACGACCCGTACTCCAATCAAGCGCGCTGCCAACTAGATTAAACCTGCATGTTGAGATTTGGGCATCTAGTGTGCGCGATCCCTTAAGTGACGTCGACAGCAGTTCGATGAAAACTGGTACTTAGCGATTGGCGGATAAATGCGCGCAAGTTATAGCGTTTCACTCGAACGACATATTGAAGTAAAGCCGTAATGAGTAGGTTCGATATAATAGCCATAGATATTCAGATTTGCGCGAAAGTTTTAGACCTGCCTATCCGCGGTCAACTAAGTGTATTAGGCTATCAATATGGACCTTGATCAAAAGTGTGACTTTACTTGAGTGAGTCAAGCATAGCACACGGACTACATATCTTAGCGCCGCTAAACTCCGAACACTCGATATGTATCGTGTGAACTTAATCATTCAATCATTCATTCCCAACGACGCCGTGTTCCAACAGGATATGGGCCCATGGCGCACGGCGGCGCACCATCGCGCCTAGAGAGTGAGGGCGCAAGCATTTTGTAGTAAGCCTCCGGGATGTGAAAATTGAATCAATGCGCCAAGCTCGGCCAATGGTTCTCTTTTGACAAGAAAGGCTTTATCGTGGATCCTCTTTGAGTTAAACAACAATAAAGCCCATAAGACGGCTTCAAATAGCAGAGAGAGCCCAAAAGAAATTTCCATTTTTGCTTCTGAGAAAGAGAGAAAGGGAACGCAATCCCTAAATTGCCGACGGATACAAATACCCGTCGATAAGTTGGATGTAGAAACGTATAGAACCTGGTGTTCGAAGATTAAGTTTCTTCTAGTTACCAAGGATCTATGGGATGGGGTCGAAGATCTCGTAGCGCATTCAGCTCAATCAAAGAAAGCGTTGTCCATCATCGTATTATTGGGTTAAATGTCGAGGTCCACCATTTTGGGATCGATTGAGGTTTGCATAACCGCAAAGGAGGCTTGGCATCTCTTTGAAAAGACGTTCAAGAGCAACACCAATGCAAGAAAGATGTAGCTCGGGCAAGACCAGCATTCTTTCAAGACGAAGTCGGTGAGGCCCGTGACCATGCATGTGGATCGGGGGATGTGGAAAAGTATAGAACCTGGTGTTCGAAGATTAAGTTTCTTCTAATTACCAAGGATCTATGGGATGGAGTTGAAGATCCCGTAGCGCATTCAACTCAATCAAAGAAAGCGTTGTCCATCATCGTATCATCGGGTTAAATGTCGAGGTCCACCATTTTAGGATCGATTGAGGTTTGCATAACCGCAAAGGAGGCTTGGCATCTCTTTGAAAAGACGTTCAAGAGCAACACCAATGCAAGAAAGATGTAGCTCGGGCAAGACCAGCATTCTTTCAAGATGAAGTCGGTGAGGCCCGTGACCATGCATGTGGATCGGGCAAAGGAATTGTATGGGGACCTGGTCGCCACCAGTTTTATGGTGAAACGGGACGAGTTGGCATGGAGCGTGCTTGCGGGATTGCCCGAGACGTTCAGTTCCCTAAGAACAATACTAGAAACTTCTGAGAGCGCAATAAACTTGGTGGATGCAATTCTGCCGAAGCTCTTGCTGCTGAGCAAGGGATTGCGGATTAGCCTAAAGGAAAGGGCGGCGGTTGGTTGGACTCCGCCATGGCCTATGTGACCAAGCGGAAAGGGAGCAATGAGAAGTCCACGGCAAGGAGGAGAGCCGAGGCAAGGGGCCTCAGTGCTATATTTGCAAAGAGTTTGATCACATTGCCCGGAAGTGCAGCAAGCCGGATAGGCGGGAGCTCAACTTGTACCAAAAGAATCAAGGGAAAGCTTCCAAGGGAGTGGCCTTTAGCGTGGTTGAGGGGGTAGCTGACGACGAGTGGCTCGTCGATTTGGGTGGCTTCCATCACCTAATCGAGGACAAAAGCCTACTTGGAACCCTCGAGATGTTTGGCGGGAGTGGTCGAGAGAATTCACGTTCGGGGAGAAGCGAACCTTGTGGGCACTGAGGAGCGGCTCGCTTGAGTTGCGGTGCGCAACACCGACCGGAGAGTGTCTGGTCACTGTGCAGAACGTGATGAGCGTCTCGGGCTTGCGGCAACCTGATCTCGGTGAGCAAGGCAACCGAGGTCACATCAGTGTTGTTCCAGGAGAACGGCAACTTTCGGCTTGAGGTTGACGGAAGAGTAGTTCTTGTAGCTCGGAAAGTGAAGGGAATCTATGTGGTCGACTGGGCGGCAAACGCACAATCTCCAAAAGTGGTTCGAAAGGGGCCACTCTTGGAAATGGAGCAAAAGGCCGCCGCGCCTGGGAGAACGCATGTTTTCTCTTGAGAAAGCCGGAAGCGGCCGAGCTGTGGAACAGAGGGATGGGGCACGGGGTATGAGAACTTGGCGAAGATGGCGCGAGACAACCTCGTCGAGGGTGTCGGCGTGAAATCGGGGGCGTTCAAGGCGCTCAAAACCTCGTGTGTGAATTGTGCAATATGGAGAAGCAAACACGGCTCTTCTTTCCAAAGTTAGAGTCAGTGAGCATGGAGTCTCTCGAGCTAGTCCACATGGACGTCGCGGGCCAATGCCGGTACCCGCGGTCGGGGGGAGCCGGTACTTCGCTATGTTTCTGAATGACTTCAACAAGCTCTTGGTTGTAGTCAGCAAGCTCTCGGTTGTAGTCCCCATGAAGCAGAAGAGCGAGGTGTTCAAGGCGAAGAAGCACGTGATTGACCGACCATCTTCCCCAATTGCAAAGGGGAAGAAGCTCAGGCCAACGCGTACGGATCGGGGGAAGGAGTACGTAAGCAGGGGCCTCAAAGACGTGTTCGGGGGCAAGGGGACGGTGCACGAGAAGACCGCCCCCTACACGGCCAGCAGAACGGAGTGGCTGGGCGGCTCATTCGGCAACCGGAGGAGAAGGTCCGGGCGATGCTTAGGATTCGGGGCTGCCCAAAAAAATGTGGGCGGAGGCCGTTGTGACGGCCAACTATACTCGGAACCGGATCCTAAAGAGCGCGCACGGGAAGACCCCTTGGGAGGCGTTCTATGGCAAGAAGTCCAGCGTGGGGCCCCTGCGGGTATTTAGGGCACGGAGCTACAAGCACGTCCCCAAGCAGAGGAGACGGAAGTTGGAACCAGTGAGCGAGCATTGTGTGTTCGTGGGGTATGAGGCGGACTTCAAAGCGTACCGGGTGCTCCGAGAGAAGGACGAAAGGATCATGATTTCCCGGAATGTCATTTTTGACGAAGCCGCGGAGGACAACGGGGTGTAGAATAGGCAACTGAGAAGCCTGTAGTGGAGTCGAAGAGTTGGGAAGATATCCCGTGAGAGTGCGACAGAAGCCCGCGGAGTGGTATTGGGCAAATGTGGGAGCAACAACGGAAGCCGTGGGAGCCGAAGAGTCGGTTCACGGAGTGGAGGAGACGTCCTCGGAGCTTCGACCCCACGAACGGATTTTCAGATGTGGCCGGCGAGCGCAACACCGCGCCCGCGCCCGCAAACGCGCACATGCCCGTGTCAGACCGCGGCCCCGTCGCACGCCCCATTTCCAAGACCGACCAAAGTGGGCAGGTTTTGGAAATGGTGCGTAAAAGCATAGCAGATCCGGAAGAGATTGTTGAAGACAATTGGATGCCAACAACGGCCGCTTAGAGGTACCCTGCGCGAGAGAAACGCGCTTCGGGGGAGTGGTACCACGCCAAATTGGCGGCGGATGCAAAAGCAAATCATTCCCTTATGCTTGTCACAAGCTAGAATCTAACCACCTTACACATAGGCGCTTTCACAAAGAAGCGCCTTTCTCTCTTTAAGCTTCTCCTAGAATGAATATCATCACATGAAATTATAGTCCAAAATTAGTACATTCCCGTAGCTAGGTGTACTCTAGCCTAGGTCGGGGTTTACTTCCACCACCCTCTAGTCGGTTCAACTATATGGACTCCTTTCCATCAACTAGGTATTCACTCTACAACTTACAATACGGCCTATTGTTTCAGTCGGACTTGTGACCGGGGCACTGTACTACTAGTGCTCGGTATCACCTTGGTAGTACCGTACTACTAGTGGTCGGGGTGATTAATTGCTCGAGTCGACTAACATCTAACGATCCACAGTCCGAATCAACACGCAATCCGACGGTCGATACTCAACGACACAAACCTCTGATGCTACGGTCGATATTACGCGACTTAAACCACAATCCTACGGTCGATATTACAAGACAAAACTCACGATCCTCCGGCTCATATTGAACCTAAGTCAACAATTTGGCCGTCAAACAACTCCGTTTTTTAACACTCCCACGCGTACAAGATTGTCCCGCTCACACCTAGCCTCTTCCACCCGCTCTCTCCTTTTGGACCTTAGCGTGATCCCCCCCTTCTCGGTCGGCGTCTTCCAGAAGTTCTCGAGTGTTGCTCGCGCTTATTCAGATAACGTTTGCCGCCGGGCGACACCACCCGCTCCGTGTCCTTCAAAGCTATCTCCGCCCATGCTCCCACGGCTTTTACGGTAATTGCGGCTCCCATGTCGTCCCACCGCGGCTCTCACGTCTTCCGTTGCGCCGTGCTCTTCCGTCTCCGTCGGGGTCTCCTTGTCTACCAGGCGGACCTCTTCCTCCTCGTCGTCCGTGTCAAGGTCCATCTCAATGTTAGAGAAAGAATTGAAGTATCCCCTACGGGATTCGAACACTTGACCGGCTTCACCTCCTCTCGCTTCTTTACCACTACTAATTTGCGGCTTCCTTGCCGCCTTTCCAATCCGACACTCCATCTCGGCCGGCCCCTTGAGTGCCAAGAACGCTGTCGCCTTCTCCACCGTCACAATCTTTCACAACTCGTCGTGTGTGAGTTGCTTGCACGGTTCGACGTTGCACACCCCAAGACGACTTTCCCGATCCAAGATGACTTTCCCGATCCCCATCGTCGTCGAGGCTTTTTCTCCAAGCTCCTCTATCCTTTCCGTAATCGCTAGCCTCTCGTAGCTTGCGAATTAGCTCTCCTCCGCCATGATGTGTTGGATGCTCCCCGCCTTGACGAGCCATACACCCGCCGGCGCCCGCGCTTCTTTGCGCCACGCCGTAAACGCCACACCGGCAGATTCCTTCCGGTCCGGCCGGTCCTCACCACTGCTCCTCTTTGCGTTGCTCGTCTTCGGAAAATTCTCATGGTGTTTCCCCCATGTTTTCATCGCCGTGTCCGTTTCCGCAAACAACTTCACATATGCATCCTTTGTGTGCATAATCTTCAAGGACCTGACTTGGTCTTACGCTTTCCGGCCTTTCCACGGATTCGGGACTCTCTGTTGTCACATTTTTTTGTACACTAGAAGAGCCTTGAACTTCTTCTTCCATGTCGACCAATTATTCCGTCCCAAGACGCGCCGTGCGTTTATCCAACCCCGCCATTTCCTTTACGGTAATTGTTGAAACTCATGGTAGGGAGTCGTAGTGTAGTTGAGATGCTCG